TTTCTTTGTTATTATTTTAAATATCTTAGTATCGTCTGCGAACAAGTACATGTCTGAGTTTGTTACATTTATCAAATCAGAAACTCAGCATTTTACGTAAACAAGTATTTTCTTGTTTACGGAAAGTAACGACACATGAGCTCCTAGTGATTGTTAAATCTTCCTGTTCCTACCAGTGAGTGAGTACTGATTAAGTATCAAATTTCTGACCCTTGCATGTCCACCTTGAAAGTAGCACAGCTAAAAAAAACATTAAAGAAAAAACCAAGGCAAAAGTTAAAGCTACTAGGTAAATAAATATGATTGATTCTGGTTAAAGCTGACCTTACAATTGAGTGTTAATGTCGGAGTTAAGCTATATATGTTAAAGAAAATAGGAAGTTAAAGCTGAACTTAAATATAACTGAGATTTTAAACTAAATCATATATACTTGGATGTAAATGAGAGTTAAACTAAATTAAATATAATTGGTTGTTAAACCAGAATTTAGATACAATTAAGATTTAAAGCCACATTAATACAATCAGGTGTTAACGGGTGCTAAAGCTGACATCAGTGTTTTTCCTGCCTATATATTTGGGGCCAATGCATGCTGTGTATTTTTCCAAATAAAGTCTGAAAAATTCCCACTTTGTTGGGTGTTTTTTTTACTAGAGATCAAAAATTATCTGGAAACGATTTTTTGATTTTTTGTATAATGTACATTTAACCAGATCTAGACTCTCCAAATTTGCCACTTGCACCACAGAAAAAAAACTTATTTCAGCCAGTGGTGGCATTTCCCAGATCGCCAGAAAAAACACTGTGTAATTATAATTGGTTGTAAATGGATGCTAAAGCTGAAATATTAATTTGGGTGAGAAAGTCAGTGTTGGGGAAGGAAAAGACAGGAGAAGTGAGCACAATATGCATATGATTAAAAATATAGAACCATATAATACTAAAAAAAAAATATTTTTTTTTACTTCACAGCAAAAGTTTTACCCATGTACTCTACTAAATAACTACAAAAATCACATAGAATCATCACACTGAAAAAAGGGACAAGCAGCTATTCAAACCTTAATCTGTAGTATACGTAGAACATAGCCATATACCTATAGTGAAGCTATAGTGAAGCTAATTTCATAAACTCCAATGAAAACACTGTCATGTCTTACACTCAGATCATTCACTAGCGAATTAATGTACTTTAAAACTACACACTCAACATTCAAAAATGTACTAACAGTAAAATCCAACTGTCAAAATTACAAAGGTCCAATTCAATTGCCATTACATGACAGCTCTAGGTCAAATGCAGTTGTCAAAATTATACAGAGGTCAAACTCAATTGGCAACATGACAAAGATCAAACTAATTTGTCAACTTTAAATTTACACAGAGGTCAACCTTAACAGGAAGTACATCACATAAACGTCAAACTGAACTGTCAACATTACACTGAGGTCAAACTGAACTGTCAACATCACACTGAGGTCAAACTCAACTGTCAACATTACACTGAGGTCAAACTCAACTGTCAACATTACAGTGAGGTCAAACTCAACTGTCAACATTACAGTGAGGTCAAACTCAACTGTCAACATTACAGTGAGGTCAAACTCAACTGTCAACATTACAGTGAGGTCAAACTCAACTGTCAACATTACAGTGAGGTCAAACTCAACTGTCAACATTACAGTGAGGTCAAACTCAACTGTCAACATTACAGTGAGGTCAAACTCAACTGTCAACATTACACTGAGGTAAAACTCAACTGTCAACATTACAGAGATCAAATGCAACTGTAAACATTACAGAGGTCAACCGCAACTGTCAACATTATACGGAGGTCAAATGCAACTGTCAACATTATACGAAGGTCAAACTTAACTGTCAACATCTGACAAACTCAACTATCAACATAACAAAGAGGGTAAAATCAACTGATATTACATAATACAGAAGTCAAATTTAGCTTTCAATAAGAAGTTAAGTCCAAGTTATACAGAGGTAAAATACAACTGTAAACATTAAACAGATCTCAAACTCAAACAGTATACAATCACCAAACTCAATTGAAAAAAAATATCATGACTGAATTCAACTGTCAACATATCATGAAGTGGCAAACTCAACAGTGAACAGTATTTATACAATGGTTGAAATCTAATCTACTCACAATACTACACAGCAGCAGTCAAGCATTATAGGAGAAAACATTGAGGTGAGTACTATAGAGCCTTACCTTCCCCAGAGAGCTGAGTATACAGCTCATCCTCAGACTCAGACTCTGGTCTGAGCCTCCAACTCATACTGTAGGTAAATTCTAGTTGTTAATCTACTTCTAAAGCCTCAGGGACCTGGATAAACCCAGGGTGATCTGTCCTATAGAAGAAATGGAAAGTGGTGGCAGATATAAGCTATATTGAATTTTCACACTTCTACACTGCTGTTTTTAGTAACTAACAACTCACCATCTGTTTTAAATATTTTACAAATTTTTATTTTAAAAAGTTACACCGCTGTTGGTACATGTATAGATTTTGTTACTTTTTTTCCCCATTTCAATCTATCAAAATATATTCTGTATCATTATAACGTTATTCAGTAATATACGTCTTACACAACATTTGTATAGCCGTGCATTTACCAATACAAATATTTCTACAACTCCTAGACCATCCATTTAATGGAGGTGGTATACCCTAGTAAACTGTACTAAAGCGTTCATTTACTGGTTTTTTTTAAATGAGTTATGAATATTTTCTCTCACTTTGATTTGTCAAAAGCCCTCTGCATTAAAGCCATTCTGGTCTCTATGGATATATATATAGAGATAAAATCCTGAATTGTGGGATGTGGTGGTTTTAAATTGGCAATCTTTGACTCCCTTCAGAAACAAGAGTTCCAGAGGGCCTGTATCACTATCATTATGACAAGATATTCTCACTTAGAGCAATATTGCAAATAAGTCTCCAGGTGCAGTGCACGTGCCAGGCCATTGGTTGATTGTCAAATTCCTGAAAGCACGACTGTGTTGGTTTCTTCATGCTCAGCAACTATACACATGGTTATGGGGTGGGGCTCTCAACTGTTTCAATGTTATGACCCAAGGACCAAGTCCCCAGGGATGAGAACAGACATCGGAGTAATCTAAGTAGCATGTATGTATTCATCTCTCCACGCCAAGCATGCAGTTTTAGGGTGGGGATCTCAACCGTTTCCCAGATATGACCCAGGGGTGTGTTCCTCAGGGGCAGAGCTGGACCCTTGATCCTTTCCTAGTAATATGTATGTAATTGTTTCATCAAACCTAGCAAATGATTGTGTGGTTTTAGAATGGTGGATCTCAACTCTTTTCAAGATAAGACCAATGGTCCAAGACCCCAGGGCCAATCCAGGTAGCATGTATATGTTTGCTTCTTCATGCTGATAAAACGTATTTGAGGCTTTAATAAAAAATTATCATGGTGATCTAATCCATTTCCAATTTCCCCCTATTAGGTCCCACCCATTACTCTCAGGGAGTCACATCCTCCATTTAACTAATGTTGAGTCCCCTCTGCTAAAGGATACTCCAGACCAGGTAGGTTTAATTGCTTAACCTGTACTGTAGGAGTAGGATTTTAAAGGATTTACCTATATTTCTTCTAAGCCCTGCCACTCAGCCACCAGCAGGGCCACACTCTTTGTTTATACAATGTAGGGTCCCCTTTTCCCAAGGATGCAACAAATTAAATCAGATTCAAAAACCTTTACCCATTAGAATNCCCCCCCCCCCCCCCCCTCCTACTCCAGCCAAAAAGGAGGGGGGGGTAAGAATCAATCACCTGCTACAGTGTATTTTCAATTCTACAATTTAAGATATCTCAGAATTTGCTGACAGCCAAAAACAAACTTTTTCCCCTCTTTTTCCTACCCATCACAGAAATAAGAGCTTATATTAATGTAGTCTAGTCTTTATTAAATTTAAATCATGTAGCAAAATGTGATTAATTGAAATAATAAGTCAACACTTAAATCTGCAATACTTTATCAAAATCTAGGCATATATTAGTGCTGACAGGAGTACTTTAATGGTAACTTTGACAGGTAAAGCACTCTACTAGAAACATCAAAGTCCTGGGTCCCATGCACTCCTATATCAGGCGAGTCCAGTTATTCCATACCATTGGCAATCTGTACCAAGATTTGGTTCATCCATACCAAGGATTTCATTCGTTTCATACCGTGAATATATCTCATAAATGTGTGCCAAACATATAAATACCTACCCAAATCACCAAATTATGCAAATTATTTCCCATAAATATATTGAGTATATGAACAAGCCAGCTGTACTGCTTTGATTGTGATTTTATATGGTAGTTATTTAAACTGACGTCACTGCAAGTGAGCCGAATATCCAAACTGAGTTCTAATGACTTTCCCACTTGAAAACGCTTAATTGATTAATCAAAATTAAATTTCCAAAATAATACCTAGGTACCGAACAACTTAAATCCTTGGTATGGATGTACTGAATCTTGGTACAGGTCGACCGGTACTGATTGCCGATGATACGGGACAATAAACTGGATTTCATGTTGCGTCATACTTGGCCAAAGTTACCTTGCATGCAAAGAAATCATGTTATCTGCAATAACCCTAGAGAATCTTATCTTACAAAGAATTATTGAAATCTAGAAATGGTTATCTAAATGTAGATTAACAAGTTACTGGGGTCTTCCGAATATTACAAAATGTTACCTTCCCTCGCAAGACCTGTTAAAAAAGGCAGTGGGCTTATTACCGAACATGTGTTTTAACATTGGTAAAATATTTATTAAATATGTCATTTTTATCGGCATCAATATATATGTGCATATTGCAATAGTTTGGATGTATATATTGAGTACGTATATATTGTACGTATAGTTGGTAATATTCTGCGCTCCGTTAGTATAGAAAGTTGTGAACATTATATTTACACAGCTGCATAGTATGTACTGTTACTGTAGAAGTCACAATATACCTGCTATCGTCGTCTTTGGAGGCTGGTCAGTCTCTTCTCCATTTATATGTGTTTTCACATCAGCTGGATCAGTAGATCCATAGGAAGGTTCCATTTTCCTACAGATGACGAGTCTCAAATGTCAGTGTCTGCCACGGGTAACAGCTGATTGATCGGAAAGTTGGAAAGCTACTCTGCAACTTTCACTCGCCATAAATGCTGTCACATTGTGACATTATCAACTCCAAAGACTCGGTTGTATGTATCTAGGTTACATTTACATTACCTGTGTCAACTTCTAATAGACCGTATGCTAGTATGCAACTTGTAGTGTTGGCAAATTGACTTTCACTTCACGCTCCAATAGTTTCACGTAGCTTTCAAACATTTATCCGACTCGGTGTTTAAAATTGGATAGGGATATACTAATGATAGGATTGAGAAAACCATGACCATGTATAATTTACATCAGGTTTTCAATATATATGAATCTGAACTTACAATACTGGAAAAAATATATATATATAACAAAAAGTCCCAACGTAAATCTTTTCCCCTGGATATGCACAAACAAATGATTTCTTTTTGTTGCACAGCATTGCTGTACCATGTTTTTGTCATGGTGTAAGCTTATACATGGTTTTATTTATCCGTGTACATATTTAATATACAGAACAAAACATTTTACAAAAACACACAGCCATTGCTTGGTTTCTTCAACTTCTTGAAACATTGAAAATATTTGGGAACCATTATGACTAATTATACAAGGGGATGTTGACAAACTTCTTATTCAAATTTCTTTGACAAAAAAAGTAATTAATGGCAGTCTTATTAAATTCCTACATTCAACTGTGTTTAACTACCAGAGCTGTGTGTCATTGTGCAAAATAATGACCGTTGTAAATGTTGAAGGGCTACTCCAATGAATGAATTTAAAATGTGTAAGCTTTGAAAAGAAGAAAAATAGTGTTGATTACTGTTTATTGTATAAGTTCAATCTAGTTCAAACTGCAGCTATTGACAATATCAGATACTACATGAAATTTACAAGAAACACTCTTGGAAAAAAAGGTTTCAGTATTTTTGCAGATACTGTTTTTCCTTTTATTTCACTATAAATATATCTTTTTTCGGTATCAAATTTCAGTTTAAATTTCTATTTTATCCTTGTGTGTTGATATAGGTAATATTTTGTTTCTTTTTAAGTTTGCACATAAATGGTTATAGAATATGGAAGTAAAAGGCATAAAGAGCATGGATGTACATACCTGTGGTATACAGGAGATATTAACAAACCCTTAGTATAAATCAGTCAAGTCATAAAATAACTAAATAAATATAAGGAGCTGCTTTGGTACTGACTCCAGGGCTCCCAAACCCTGGCATCCCCTATCAAAATATTTATATATGTATATATATATCTGCTTCGAAGCAGTATATGTATACATATTTATGAAAAAAATGGCTGGGGGAATAAAATATTTGTAACACACAAAAAAAGAAGCTGCATTTGATATCACAAAACTGATTTCAGTAATTTCTGTGGTATGTTAATTATCCTGAAAGATTGACAATATATTATATTTGGCTAAAAGTACAATGGTGAGTTTATTACATGACAATGATAAACCCTTTGTTGGCATTTTCTTCTGAACTACACTAGCTATGGGTGGGCTTATTAACAGGCATGGGATTATTTTCAGATAAATATGTGTAATATATATCACATCTTAAAGACTTTTTTTATATAACAATTTATTGTTCTTTCATGGAGCCAAATTGATATTATCAATCATGTACAAAAAATGACACAATTCCACAGGTATCAGCTGCAGGTCGGTGGGTTTTTTCAGGTTCTTCGGCTTTCCTCCAACAAAACCTGGTACTTCCTTAAACGATCATAGCTGTTCAATAGGACGTAAAATACAAAAAAACAAACATTAACCATTCCTCAGCTACTTGAGCATATACATGTCAGGTACATGTAAAAAGAGGCTATCGCATGGTATGCCTTTCCATTCTACTTCTACACTGTATTACAAACAACATCAACAAAAGAATAATTGATATTGTCTTTATTCCACCACACCAAGGCACTACTACATGTAAACAAATTTAACATTTCGGGAATCTAACATTTTTTTGTAAAACTATCAACAATTTGTGACATTTAAAACAAGTATTGTATAACCTCTTGTTATGCGCATTCTCCTCAATTTTCTCTATAGATAATATACATCCTATATTGCACAAAAATGCATATTACTCCAAAGTTAAAGCTAATTTGCTACAACATAAGACGAGTTATTTCAACGATTTTTCACACCACTGGCTAGTTACATTATTAATCTAAAGGACAGGAGGAGTAAACCTCAGTTCATATATGTGAACCGAAAAATGTAAATCTGTATTTTATATTAGTTCATTCACCCCTGAGGACACTCCAATTTGAAATAGTTCACCATGAAATTTCAGGGGTGAAAGAGTTAATATGTACACTTTATTACACAATCAATGTTACGTTTACATATATCATCACATTAACTAAAAATAGATAATCTCATATGCCTTAGAATATTGCAGCTTCATGTACTGTACATCTTAACATAAACAGAAATAGGGTATATCAAATATAGAAAGCAAGTCAACCTATAAAAGTTAATATAAATAACATTGTTAATGTCTCGAATCAAAGTTAGAGAAATTGAGTCTTGTTGCAAGTCAGTAAAATTTAGCATTTAATATTATTTTTGATGGTTTCAGTTTTGTGATTTGATTAATAAATCTAATAATCTAATTGTATTTAGAAGTTACCAACGACAATACGACTTTTTATTGTGTATAGAAATTACTAAAGACAAACCAAAATGTTTGGTTATAATAAGTCGAAGTCAAAGACAATACAAGTTTTACTGTAAGTAGAAACCACTAAAGACAGACAGAAATGATTGGTTATAATAAGTCGAAGTCAAAGACAATACAAGTTTTACTGTAAGTAGAAACCACTAAAGACAGACAGAAATGATTTGGTGATACTAAGAAATTACCAAAGACAATAAATAAAGAGGTAATTGCCGAAGAATGCTGATTAGTACAAACAATTCAAAATTATATGGAATGAACAATTTAAGGATCCTTGTACCACTGCCAATAACTGTAAACAAAGTATTGAAAACTATTTTTTCCTGCATTTCGATACCTCTGATAAACCATGTCTACAAAGTAAACTCATATCTTGCAGGATTTGCATGAGAGATGATAAGGATGAACTTAACAAAACATAATTCTGTGAGCCAAAATTGAGCTGGCTAGACCGGGAGTCGAGCACATAACTCCAGATTGTTATGCTAGCTCTAATCAAATTAGCTACCTGGGGCTTGTTCACTTATGCAGAACAACCGGTTTGTCCTTTTTTTTTTTAAATGTAGCACTTTCGAGTATAAATCCTGGCAGACCTACAAATGTTTATGCAGGCCTTGCAAGGCTTTGCCAGGACTCGCCTGAAAGCAGCATTAGATAAATTACTAGGTCCGACCTTATTTCATAAACGAACAACTCTGGTCCAACCGGTTCAACTGTTTGGATCGCGATAAACGAAAGCGGCCCAGGTTGACAGAAGTATCTTGGCCCTGCTGTGTTACACTTATACTGTATGTAAGCGGTAGTAAAGGGGAGGTTACTGTGCATAGGGGAAAACACAGACCAACAGGAAAGGGATCCTTAAGATTACCTGGCACATGCTTATTTTCTAGAGTAAATTGCACATATTACTGTTAAAGGGTATGGAGTTTTTTCAATATTTTTTTTTTGTGCAAATTAAGCTAAATAATTCGAAGAAAACACCATTATTATCTAAAATGTAAAATATTATCTGAGGGGGAATCACACTTCTAAACCCCCTCAAAAAGTAGCGTTGATATAGTATTGTAGTATTATGAAAATGCAACTAGAAATATTATCAGAAATTTATCTATACATAGGCTTTTCACTTATATCACAAGAAATACACTTGGTCCACAGTATCATATCAGCTAACACTTAACATGAAATACATTGTTATCACATAACTGACCCATTTTACTACCTGTGTCAGGCGGCAATGTTATAAATATATATTATCTTATAAATACTACACATGTGTAATAAAACCTAAAGGTGCAGCTATTGGTCAAAACCGTGGGAACATATTCCTACGCCACTACAGGTACAGGTACTACTTTTATGTACTATATACCACATGATACATTTACTGTTGATCTAATGAATTTTAAATGTTTCTTTTGTCTTTATTATTTTCACTGCATTCAAAAGTGTTACGAGGGTCACACGTCATGATTACAACTCGTTACTTCGTTATCAGTGCTGCCGTGCAAATAGATCAGTCTGAGCAAAGTTTTGCAAGGCTATAATTATAATAATAGCCAAAATCTATCAATAATATGTATTACATAATTTCAGTACACAATCTTCGTATTTGAACTATCCAAAATGTCGGTAAGCATGGTTCGAACTATCACTTAACAGAAAATTATTGTTTTTAGTGTTCAAAAGGTGTGTTCTAATTATCCACCTTTTCTAACTGACCGGAGGTTTATTGTTTTTTTGTTTTTTTCAAATTGGAACTACACTGTACTTTGCAGTGCGCGGAATGACAATTCTACGATAGGAGTACTTTGGTTTTGACCTTTATAGAGACAGCTGATAACACATAATAGTATTTAAAGGATTTGGTTATTTTTTCAAATTAGGAATGTTACACGATAAAAAGAATCTTACTGGAGTGTCCATGTAATATTTAACTTTAATTTAACAAGTCTAATGATTTGATATGACACACTCATGTAATATCCTCTAAAGATTTACCTCTTAAGTCAATATTTTTACTTGAATTAGTGCACCGATGTCACACCATTGTCAAAACAATTTTAATACCATACTGGATTGTGGAGTTTCAATTTAAAATGTTTAATATTAAAAGATGACTGATGAAATGAAATTTGATTGTTACATCATTATTATGACAAAATGGTTTCAGGCTAGTTAATCATAAATAGCTTTTATGATCAGTTTCACATGCTTAAAGCAGTTATGTAGACCTAAAACAAAGCTTACAGATCAGGTGTTTTACGATACACCCAGAAACTGTGCTAGAAGCAATGTTTATTGATATGTTTTGAGAATGAAGAGGAAATGTTCAGTAGCTTGTAGATATGTCTCCATATAGCACGACTCAGTTGTAACACATACTGTAAGACAAACGTGTGTTTTCTCTTACCCTGGACAGGTGTATCCACACTTTTCACCCTTAAATTCATAACAATGGTATGACATCACGTCAACAATACAATGACGTCACATCAACCCTGCACCTAGCCAGTAACATCAACATTACATTACGTATATGACACACAATGGGTGGACAGGGTAAGAGAAAAAGAATCAATCACCCCCTTTTGGTGAAATTGAGAATCTAAACCCTCAGGGAAAAGTTGTTAAGTTGCCAAACACTCGGCAAAGCCCTGTGTTTGACAACTTATTGCTGTTCATGCTTTTTAATGTGGCTTTATGATTAAAGGAAATATACTTATGAAGATTTACAGATTGAGGAAAAGAAAAACCTGAGTATACTTTAATTTGGATTTGAATTAAACCATCCTATACCACACACAAAAATTACAATACCACTAGTTCGCTAATTTTATATAACAGCCATTTGGCATACGATTTTAACATAAACATAATTATGAATCATGAAAAGCTTGTTTCATAATAATTATGTGTTCTATATATCTACTTTTTACTTTGAATGCATTACATCTAAAAACACATTTTATTAATACTTTAAAATAGCAAACAGCAGTTTGACTCAACTTTGATGACACACTAAACCCATTCACCCCTAAGTCACATTTGAACCTTACCAAATCAAAGACTGGGCATTTCAATTTTAAACATGTAGGGTGAAAGAGTTGGGGTGTAATTTGAATCATGCACTTATTATTTTACAATAAATATTAACTGAAAATGAATATACATGTCCTGAATTCAAAATTAACACTGTAACCTGTACATATGCAAATAACGTAAAAAATTGAATTTGATATTATTCACTGGTCAAATTGACAATTACCTTGACGATATACATTATATTGACTGCTGACAATCACCTTGACGATAGACATTGAATATGAAATACACAAGGCAGTCTTTTTTATAAAAGAGGGTCGTTTTGTCTCTCCATTATTTAACCTCCAACACATACAAAATTTATGGGACATGCTAAATTTACTTTTGTCAGAGACAAGGGTAGAGGAAGGATTCACAACTAAACTTAAACATTGAAGGGAGTCAGACCAAGACACACATATACCAGGTACACTTATACTAATCCAAGCAGCCCTGGAATACAGCTCCAAAAGTCAAGCTGTCAGTACAGTAGATGAAGGAAGTCAGAAATCACAGGCAAGACTGCATATACTTCAAATGCATATTGACTGAGAACACAATAAAAATTTGAAATCCACATTAAAAAAGTTGTACAATGTTGATAAACTTTTAAATATATAACAACAATGGTTTTGAACTTATACTTTGTATAACAACATAACATATATTTATACTTCATATATCTTAACAACGATTACTTACTCATCATATTAAACATATGTATAGTGGGAGTGGGAGGCACTTTTAATACATCGGTTTATTTTACAGAAGTATATAAAGATAGAAAATTAATATTATCGTCTTTTATGCTTAATTAAAAACAGTTGTAAATACTCTTGATACAATTTTATGGTTTAAACAATAACATATATAAATAAGGCCACATGTATTTTATAATCTCCGACGATTTGGAGACAAGAAGAAAATATGTATTGAATTGCATAATTAGATGGATACAAAATGTACATCACATATTTTTTTGGGTGAAACGTGCCTTATTTCTGTCAGAGAGACCTACCGGTGCTATTCTGTCTTTGCGTATTGCAGAGTTATCTTCTCTTGTTAGCAGGTATTGATTGTTACATCATTGGTTTTTAAGTGAGAAAATTACGTCATTTTCTCAAATATTGATGACGTTACTCTCACAAACCAATGATGTAACAATCAATCCCTGCTCACAAGAGAAGATAACTCTGCAATATGAAAAGATGGAATAGGTTTGAATTCTTAGTTAAGTGAATCCCTGTGCTGAACTTTACTGTAAATTACTATAAATTACTGTTGCATTAATTTTGATTCTCTTGCTACATCACCAGGAAAGTAATTTCTGAAATTACTTTTTTGGCCAAAATTATTTCCAGAGATAACTGCTATAAATATTGAAATAGCATCCTCTCAATTACAAATCCTAGTACATGCATTTATTTCTGTAACACCTTATCTACTTGACGTGACATCTTCGGTATAAGATATATGTCACAAAATGTCAGAATTTCAGCCACATTTCTATATAATCTTTTTCATTTCATTTACCTTCTTTTGTCATTTCAGAACATCATACATGCACCTGATTTCCACCCAAAAAATATACAAATTTGATAAAAGGTAAATTCTTCTAAATTATATATGTGGAGTCACAATTCATATCATGGTTTTCATTAATGCTGATTGGTTTTTATGGAAACAAATATTCTTTATCAAAACAGCAGCAGTACCAACATTCAATGTGTTCTAAAGGCCAAACAGTACCAACATTCAATGTGTTCTAACGGCCAAACAGTGCCAACATTCAATGTGTTCTAACGGCCAAACAGTATTAATAGTTGTATACTTGCACACTTCAATACAAAAGCATTTGACGCTAACAATATTTTCAGATAGTTATCTATATATGCCTTAAACATGAAAAAAGTACAATAATAGAAAAATGCTTACAACAGTAACACATATTTGTTGTGACTTTTGGTCATATTATTTAATTCAAGTATGCTACAGTTAATTTCCATTCAGATATAACTGAATTCAATTCAAATTTAACAGAATTCAATAAAAAAAAAGATCAAATTGAAATATAATGGAAATAATTTAATATTCAATTTAAATGTAATTCAAATCAATTGACAGAGTCAAATGAAATACAAATGGTACAGAATTATGAAAATAACATTAGAACTAAAATGGAATTTTCCAATTGATCACTTGTTAAATAGACGAGATGTTTAAACAAGAGATCCCAGAGGGATCGTGGCGCCCACCTTTGTACCATTTTCATTAGTTCTTTGTCAGTTCAATCTTTTCTCTTCTTTCCTCTAATCTGTTTGATCGAGTCGTGTTAATAGTAAATGCACCATGAGGTAACTTTTGATCTAAATTTAATACTGATGTGTATGGACGCCAACCTTCAAAGTGATTTTGTCATTTCACATATTTACTTAGTACAGGGCTTAATGTGAAAGAAATAGTATCGATCATTGCAATATGAGAAAGATCTGATTAGTTCTTTTTTTAATGCATTTTGTTTTATGCTCATTCCCACCTCATACCATACACAACGAGGGATCAAGGGGAACCTACATATAAAATTTGAGAAAGATCCCTCTGATACTTCCATAGAAATAGCGATAACAAACTTTCAATATCAAAATCCAAGAGGGCTGCCTGTCGGCCATTTTTTTATCCAATCAGTCTCAAAAGTTGCCCTGCACAGCTAAGGACTAGAGGAACCTACATATAAAATATGAGAAAGATCCCTATCGTCCTTCTTGAGAAATAGCGATAACAAACTTTCAATATCAAAATCCAAGATGGCTGCCTGTCGGCCATGTTGTTTATCCGATCAGTCTCAAAAGTTGCCCTGCACAGCTAAGGACCAGAGGAACCTACATATAAAATATGAGAAAGATCCCTATAGTCCTTCTCGAGAAATAGCGATAACAAAGTTTCAATATCAAAATCCAAGATGGCTGCCTGTCGGCCATGTTTTTTGTCAGATCAGTCTCAACAGTTGCCCTGCATAGCTAAGGACCAAGAGGAACCTGCATATAAAATGTGAGAAAGATTCCTCTGGTACTTCTTGAGAAATACCGATAACAAGAATTGTTTAAGGACGGACCACGGACGCAGGGTGATTTGAATAGCACACCATCAGATGATGGTGGGCTAAAAAAAAATATGTATAAAGCAACAAGTTTACCTGAGGAAATATTCATGCAGTCTACAATACAATCATTTAAACTATACAGGCCTAGGATATCTATGTTCACGTAGCTTCATGAGGTTTAATTGGATGTTTAGTCAGACACATTTACACATAGATAGCTTTGATTTTTTTCATTTATCTGCTATCACTCCATTCACAAATAAGAATCCTTGGGACTTGCCTTGATAATCCAGCCAACAGAAACTGGAAGATGGTGAATTGATTGGGACAATGATTTAAAGGAAAGGTAAAATAAAGATAAAGGAAGAATGCCCCTCCAGAACAATTTCAGGAGAGTGGTACAATGTTTGCAATTTGCTAATTAACACACAAAACTGAGAAGTCTTTCAAGCATAAATGCAAAACTATGTATTCATGAAAATTAAAGAGCCACCATCAATATTGTTGTTCCATTTGCCAGCCACCTGTAGTTGCTAGCTAATCCATATTTTATTTTCCTAGTTATTGAATCTATCAATCTGAAAATCAGCTGGAGACACAAATGGCTGGATTATCTACTGGCAATTAAAAGGTTGGATTATCTACGGAAAAGAAATGTAGGTGGGGTATCTAAAGGGAACAAGCTGGCTAGATGATCTACTTGGAACAAAGCTCACTTGATTATCTACTATAGGAGCAAAGATGTCTGGATTAAAAGTCTCTTCGGAATGAAGGTGGCTGGATTATCTACTGGAAACAAAGGTGGTTGGATTATCTATTTGGAACAAGGATGTTGGATTATCTACTGGCAAAAAAGCATGGCTGGATTATTGAGGCTCTGCCTTACGTACATGGCACTCATCCCAACACTGTCACAGTCTCACGAAGATGATATAAAACTCTAATGAAAAAAACAAATAATTTACAGTGCTATATATACATGTCATGATGCAACAGGACCAACAATCACTTAACCATTCTGATGAAACCATTACTTTAGGTAACATTATTGTAACTGATAGTATGTTGCTGCAATCATAACATTGCAATGATATGTAACTGAAATTCCTCAGCTGTGACTGTCACACTATCAAATACTACAGAGGTTTCATTCCTTTGATAATAACAGTAACACTATACTATATTTGCCAAATCTCCCTAATTTAGAGATAGACTTCTGATTTTCGACCCGCAGTGAATTTGCCAAACTATTCCTATTTTCTAAGATTTGATGATTTTACCTGAAAGAACAGTCAAAAGATGCTATTTAAAAAGTGTTATTTTTTCCCTGGGATGTACATGAACATTTTATTTATGCTTTTCATTCTGAGCATGGGATAACTCCCCTTTTGAAATTTCAGACAGCTGCCAAGTATATGTAACACTATACTATAGTGGTTTCATGACTGTGATCGCAACACTACTTTGATAATCATTATGCAATAGTGATTTCACTGCTGTGACCTCGATACTGTGATATGTTATATTGTAGTGATTCCGCTGATATGACCTCAGCACTATCACATAACACTTCTGTGACCTCGGTACTGTGATATACGTAGTAATTCCCGTCTGATATGACCACAGCTCTATTACATAACACTTCTGTGACCTTGGGACTGTGGTATACGTAGTGATTCCACTGATATGACCACAGCTCTATCACATAACACTTCTGTTACCTCGGTACTGTGATATATGTAGTGATTCCACTGATATGACCACAGCACCATCACATAACACTTCTGTGACCTCTGTACTGTGATATACGTAGTAATTCGAGTCTGATATGACCACAGCACTATTACATAACACTTCTGTGACCTTGGTACTGTGATATACGTAGTGATTCCACTGATATGACCACAGCACTATCACATAACACTTCTGTGACCTCGGTACTGTGATATACGTAGTGATTCCACTGATATGACCACAGCACTATTAAATAACACTTCTGTGACCTCGGTACTGTGATATACGTAGTGATTCCACCGATATGACCACAGCACTATTACACAACACTGCTGTGCAATTTCTCTATAGTTGTTGAATTTTGTGTGGCTAGTATATATTCACAGTTGTCTCCATCAGAACTATTTCGAGGGTATAACATTTCTCGCATCATGGTAAGGTAAGACTTTCATGTTCTCTATGGTAATTTTTTTATTTTGGAGATGAGATGCAATTTCTTTTTTTTACATGAATTTTTTGTTTTATCTTCATCTTTTGGTGGTTAACATGTTAACAGCTTTCCTTTGCTGGGTGATATAACTTGGTGTTGTCTTTGGTGAACGCAAATATAGCAAAGTTTAATCCCCAGCGAATATAACCAATTGCAACTATAAAGTAAATGGAATTCCCAGGGAATATAACCAACTAAACAGTAATTATAAATGGAAGATTAAACTCATACTCAATTCATGTTATTATTATATAGACATTTTTACACCTAGAACACCTATAAATTCTATTATTTCTCACCCTTGATATGTTTTTCTTTTTATTAACGGGGCCAAAAAAACTGCCACAACTTTTATCAATAAACTAATAGCTTCTAGAGTAACGAGGATAATCAGTGGTGATGACTTTGAATGACCTTTGACAGTGTTTCTAATTTAAAGACTTAATGTGATATCTATTTGGTTTTAACCAATAAACGAATTAACATTAAGCTCTGTTCTAGAGGTTGAAGTGACTCAGTTCAACAGAAATAAATTCTTAAGAAGTTGATCATGTTAAACAGAAGTTTCTTATCCAATGATTTTACTTATTCTCATTAAATAAAAACATTTTTAGCTTTGAAATAATTGGATAAATAATAATTAATAAGTAGATATAGATATATATACCAAAACTAGGGTGAGTACGTAACAAAATAGTTATGTTAATGTTCTTTGATGGCATTTAATAAGAAAAGGTATGAAAATAAAAAAAAATGTAAGCTACAAAAAAAAGTGAGAAAATATTTAGAAACAATTGTATATGGATATGTTAACATATAACAATATACAGACGATGATAAATTCACAGGATCAAGCTTCACTATGAGACATAAACACAATATTACAGTTAATTATAGATATGGTCAATAACCCTGTAGCTTACTTGGCCATTAAACAATATTATGTCTGCTAACTGCATCATCACGGAACACATTCAAACTTCAGTCTTAATTTTGTTTTGTAAATTTGTTATATGAAGTAAATTTACAGCGAAATACAATGTACTTGACAATAGAATCTTGACAATATTCTAAAAGTATTGTTACTGGAAATGCATCTTTGTTGTGGTATTGTCTTGCTGGTCAAATGTTTAGTAAGAAAAGTAGGAAATCAAATAAAATGGAAATCATCATGTCAGATGTCAAGATCAATTTTGCAAGGTCAAGGTCGTAAGGTCAGGGTCGTCATGTCAAATGTCAAAAATGCTATATCCAATGTCAAGGTTGCTATATCTAATGTCAAGGTCATATTTGTCGAAGTCAATGTGTGAACTGTTATAACTCAAGCAAGCTATAAGTATCCATGAATGGAGGAACAATCTTCACTGGTCAAAATCTTGAAATTCTTCTTGGTCCGAGTTCGCTAAACTTTAGACTCGCGCTCCAAGTCTGCATACCCTGTCAATAGATTCTGTTTGCGCACCACACTGCCAGCGTTTCGCAGCTTGAAACTCCCATAATGCCACACTCTGTTTTTGTCTTCTTCATTTAATGTATGTAACTAAAATGAAAACAATGGAAAACAACTGTGATCAGGAAGGTAGTAAATTAGGTGTGGGTAAGGGGGAGGGTTAGATTGTGATACCGCGTGGCTATGATTATCTATCCCACCCCCACCTCCCTTCTCCTATTCATTTATGTACACCCCTCGTTAATTCAATTCTCCCAACCACTACCCATGGTATTTTCAATCGAAAATATCACCTTTTCATCCCCAAAAAGTGTGAATCTATGAACTATCAGGACATATTTACATTTCAACTGAAGTGAGAGATAGTTAGATTATCATGCTTATGACTTCCCTATACCATCTTTGATCTCGCTATCCCCCACCTCCCCAAAAACTGTTTTTTCCTTAAAACTGACCTTATACATAAATTAACTGGTAGTGGTACATGTAGGGATTAAAATATCTTAACCATATGTCATGATAATCTAACCCACTCACCAATTTTTTATCCACAAAATTTACGTAAATATTTTCACGTGACACATGTATAATGACGCTTCAAATGTGTCATTTGCAGTTTAAAATACTAATTTACAAAAATTGTTGAAGTCAAATCTTTTTTGAGGAAGCCAGATTATGATGTAGAGGATTAAATTAAAATTCTTTAAAATTAGCACTGTTTAATTTTTTTGTTAATATTATAAATGTCCTAATTATAACATTTTAAGATAGTAACATGTTAACCTACCTCAAGGGTTATGCAATAATATGCTAGTCTACCAGTAACTAACCCTGGTGTTTAGATATGAAGGGGTCAATTATCCTAGAACATATATTTACTATGTTGTATAGCTCAGAGATCCTGTCATATACTTACAGATCTACTCCGGTCAAAATAACCCTGATTAGTATAGCCCTGTGCTTCCCTGTAGTAACGTCTTTCCTTCTTCTTGTCCTGAAAATAGTTATTGACATGCTACATTAAAGATAAAGGGACAAACAAAATATTACATCTTTCAACAAAAATCTAGACAAAACCAAAAGAAAAACCAGTTAAATATTCTGTTTTGCATTTTAAATGTCATGAGTGAGAAAAAACTAGTATTTTATATGATAACTCAACTTTGAGGACTTCGATAATCGTGATGCAAGAATGCACTTTTCTCTAAATTTTTGACATTCAATTCAGAAACTTAACAGTGAAAGCAAATCTTTATAATTTAATTTAATTGTATTAATTCCCCCCCCCCCTAAAAAGACCAACTTACAAATACATTACCTGTTTTTAATGGCATTGCCTGGTAACTAATTGATGAGTACTCAGGGTTAGAATCAATATCTGTGATATTTGCAAGAGTTGTCTCCCCTAAACAAGTATGATAATATCAGATAATGTGAAGCATGAATAATACTTACAAAGTAGCTGAAGGTACAACTGGCTGGAATCCACAGCATCAGAGAGAAGACAATGATGGTTCCCACAATGTTACTACGCATAAAGGCAACTGTAACAGACAACATCCCCACAATGTTACTACACATAAAGGTAACTGTAACAGACAACATCCCCACAATGTTACTATACATAAAGGTAACTGTACCAGACAACATCCCCACAATGTTACTACACATAAAGGTAACTGTAACAGGCAACATCCCCACAATGTTACTATACATAAAGGTAACTGTAACAGACAACATTCCCACAATGTTACTACACATAAAGGTTACTGTAACAGACAACATCCCCACAATGTTAATACACATAAAGGCAACTGTAACAGACAACATCCTCACAATGTTACTACACATACAGGTAACTGTAACAGGCAACATCCACACAATGTTACTATACATAAAGGTAACTGTAACAGACAACATCCTCACAATGTTACTAAACATACAGGTAACTGTAACAGGCAACATCTCCACAATGTTACTATATCCCCACAATGATACTAAACATAAAGGTAACTGTAACATGCAACATCCCCACAATGATACAACACATAAAGGTAACTATAACAGACAACATCCCCCCAATGTTACTATACATAAAGGTAGCTGGAACAGACAACATCTCCACAATGTTACTATATCCCCACAATGATACTACACATAAAGGTAACTGGATCAGACAACATCCCCACATTGTTACTACACATAAAGGTTACTGTAACAGACAACATCCCCACAATGATACTACACATAAAGGTAACTGGATCAGACAACATCCCCACAATGTTACTACACATACAGGTAACTGTAACAGACAACATCCACACAATGTTACTATACATAAAGGTAACTGTAACAGACAACATCCCCACAATGTTACTACACATAAAGGTAACTGTAACAGCCAACATCCCCACAATGTTACTACACATAAAGGTTACTGTAACAGACAACATCCCCACAATGATACTACACATAAAGGTAACTGGATCAGACAACATCCCCACAATGTTACTACACATACAGGTAACTGTAACAGACAACATCCACACAATGTTACTATACATAAAGGTAACTGTAACAGACAACATCCCCACAATGTTACTACACATAAAGGTAACTGTAACAGCCAACATCCCCACAATGTTACTACACATAAAGGTTACTGTAACAGACAACATCCCCACAATGATACTACACATAAAGGTAACTGGATCAGACAACATCCCCACAATGTTACTACACATACAGGTAACTGTAACAGACAACATCCACACAATGTTACTATACATAAAGGTAACTGTAACAGACAACATCCCCACAATGTTACTACACATAAAGGTAACTGTAACAGACAACATCCCCACAATGTTACTACACATAAAGGTTACTGGAACAGACAACATCCCCACAATGTTACTACACATAAAGGTAACTGTAACAGACAACATCCCCACAATGTTACTACACATAAAGGTGACTGTAAAAGATAACATCCCTACAATGTTAATATACATAAAGGTGACTGTAACAGACAACATCCCCACATTGTTACTATACATAAAGGTTACTGTAACAGACAACATCCCCACAATGTTAATACACATAAAGGTAACTGTAACAGACAACATCCCAACAATGTTACTACACATAAAGGTAACTATAACAGACAACATCTCCACAATGTTACTTTACATAAAGGTAACTGTAACAGACAACGTCCCCCCAATGTTACTACACATAAAGGTAACTATAACAGACAACATCCACACAATGTTACTATACATAAAGGTAACTGTAACAGACAACATTCCCACAATGTTACTACACATAAAGGTAACTGTAACAGACAACGTCCCCCCAATGTTACTACACATAAAGGTAACTGTAACAGGCAACATCCACACAATGTTACTATACATAAAGGTAACTATAACAGACAACATCCCCACAATGTTACTTTACATAAAGGTAACTGTAACAGACAACGTCCCCACAATGTTACTACACATAAAGGTAACTGTAACAG